TAATCGGGATGGGTGTGTCAGAGGCGGTGCGGTTGGCGCAGGATAGAGCAGGGTTTAGGGCTGTTGTGCATAGGGTCGCTATGAGTCGGAAACGACTCAACGGCACATAACAACAACAGCAATAGATACTAAGTTTTCTTATTTAGATTTGAAGTGCTTTATTTTAAAATGTTGTTGTTGTTATGTGCCATCGAGTTGTTTGCGACTCATAGCGACTCTATGTACAAGAACCCTAAACGCTGTTCTATCCTTTGCCAACTTCGCAGTCTCAAACACTTTCATTCCCACCATCCCACTCACAGAATCGATCCATCTCATCAAGGGTCTTCCCCTCCTGTGCCGTCCCTCCACTCTGCCAAATATGATGTCCCTCTCCAAGGACCAGTCCCTCCTTGCAACATGCTCAAAGTATGTCAGACAAAGCTTCAGAATCCTTGACTCCAGGGAACATTGTGGCTTCACCCTCTCCAGGACAAACCTGTTTGTTCTCCTAGCATTCCATGGTATATTCAGCACTCTTCTCCAGCACCACAACTCAAAGGCATCAATTCTCTTTCTTTCATCCCTATTCACTGTCCAACTAAATTTAAAGTTTTTCTTGTCCCTTTGTAATGTAATTTAGGCTTTTTGGCTTTTGTGAGGTAAATTTTTAATTTCTTTTGTGTTTTTCTACTTCTTTCCTATAATTCTGATTTCCATTAGCCTTTATATAGCTCTGGGTTTTCCTTTTCTTGAGTGAAGTGTGGTGATCATCCCCTATTGCATAGTGCCTTTCCCTTCATCTATCTTAATATTTATCTGTTATCTATTTTATCTCCTTCCTGCCCACCCCTACTTCATTTTTTTGATTAGTATATGGATCTTCTTTTTTATAGGTAAAGTACTTGATTTTGTTGAATATTGCATAAATCCTAGAAGACTGCAGTAAAGTGGCAATGTCTCTGGAAACCTCCCCACCTCTGCCTGGAGACATGTCTGCTGGTCCTATAGCAGAAAGCTGGTGTTACACACAGGTATATGCTATTATCAAATGCCTTGCTTTTTAATGCATCATTTATAAATTGTATAGTATTTTGAGGATACTATTTTGAAAATAGTAGGTTAGTTATTAGAAGTGCTAGAAGAGTAGATCATAGGTATGTGACAAGTTAAAAAGCATAAGCACCATCATTATTTAAAAATATTTTCTGAATCTCCTAGGTTAAAGTGGTAAAATTTTCCTACATGTGGACCATAAATAACTTCAGTTTTTGCCGAGAGGAAATGGGTGAAGTATTAAAAAGTTCAACATTTTCATCTGGCCCAAATGACAAAATGAAATGGT